GCTTTATTAATACTAATCTTGGCTTCTAGAAATCGACCACTACCGCACTTGCAAAGAAATTACATGATGTTTTAAAGAGGCAGCAACTTGTTCGTTAATTATATGCTCAGACTAGGACTGTCTCCTGGTTTACAAGGAGATAAAAATGCAGATAAAAAGCCATGTCCGTCATAACGTGGTACGTCCGGGTTCCTTCTGGAAGGGTGCGATAACCTCGTGGACCCGAGATCCCAGCACCGCATTCCAAGAGATCTCTAGCATCCCGAGATGCTTTTCAAACCCCCTACCCAGCACCCAGCTGGCTCCTCAGGGCCATGCAATCCTCCGTAACACCCTCCCGGGGGCTGCAATTTTGAGAACCCTCGAGGGAGGGTTGGTGGAGCCCCAGGGGACACCGAGGGGACGTACGCTTGCCAGGTTCTATGTGACCCAGGTCAGCTCTCAAAGCCGGTGTAGATCTTCCTCGCCCAAGCCAGGGCAGGGCGAGTGGCCAGTCCCCCAGAGAAGGAGCCAGCCACCAGCTCAGCATCCGCTGAAATGGGGCTGAGGGATGGACAGACCCCAGTGCACCCCAGATGAGAGAGCTACAGCCCCATCGCTGCTCGCCCCAGCTGCTCCCAGTAGCACTGGGGATGTTGCCAACGTACCAGAAACACCCTCCTGCCAATCCCCCATCCCGACGTCCCACCAAAACGCGCTGCCTGGACCATGGTGCACGTCAGACCCAGCCCTGAGCAGCTGGATGGGATGATCTGCTCCCACCATCCAACCTGGGGCAGGTAGTGAGCGTCTCGCCCTGACCCGGCCGAAGGTACCACCGCTCTCCCCTCCCCACATGCAGAAGAGGGGCAGGGGTTGTGCTCCTGCTCTCCCAGGGGGAAAAATGCAGGGGGATTGCTGAGACGGGGCCACTTGACCACACAAAGGCTCTGCCAGGCTGGGAAACACCAGCACAGAGTGTTTCCCTGTGCGGTGTGGAGCGGGATACAAGGAGACCATCTGCCAAACTGGGTGGAGCTTTCTGCACCCAAATCCTCTAGAAATTCAGGGAGATTGAGTCTCCTTTGCTGCCCAGGGAGCTGCCTGCCCCAAGGCTTGTGCCCTCCATTGGGTGATGTGCCATGGGGTTTTGTCAGCAGTGTGAACGCGTGGTGCTGGCATGGCAGCGACCCACGCTGGCCAGCAATGCCAGGGATCACTGCACTACGGAGCCCGAGCCCCCGGCCCCGGCAGAGCAGGAACAGCCACCGCAGCATCTCTGCAATGCCGGAGGGACGGAACGGCAGCCCTCGCTGCAAAGCCCAGCATGCAGCCCCCCCGGGAGCAGGGCAATGATGGATGGGGTTAAATGGAGCGCTGAGGAAGGCAAAGCACACAGTGCCTGGGTAGCAACGAGTTCCCTCCTGCGGGGACCCAATGGGCCACCAAGGCGCATCCCAATGGGAGGGCTTGGCAGCCCCATCACCTGCCCCACTAAAGAGCAAATCGAGCAACGAGCATCCTGCAGCCCCCAGTCCCTCCTGCCCCAATTTCTGCCAGCCAGAAACCACAGGAGGAGCAGAAGATGTTTTAGCATCTTCACTGCAGCTGCTGAGCCAAAGGCTCGTGTGGATTTTCCAAAGCACAGATCGCACCGAGGAATTCCCTTGGCCGAGCGAGCAGAGGGGCAGGAGGGGGGGATGCAAGGTTTGGGCTGAGCCAGCACAGTGAGTAAAGCAGTATTTGTTTGCAACAGGCTTTAAAAGTCAAAGGTGTTCAAACAAAGAGCAGGCTGAAAGCCTTCCCCGGGCTCCGAGGGAGGCACGGATGCCCTTCCTCAAATATCCGAGAGACTTAGTGAAAATGCCAAAGGGAAGGAGGGCAGGAGCAGAGGTGGGAGACGGATTTAGGGAGCTAAAGAGCATGGGGGCACTCGTGCTCTGTGGGAAATGTCAGGCTGGGTTCAGCCATCCTCATCTCGCTGCTCCAGCACAGGGCTGGAAGAGGCTGCTGCGTTCAGCATGCGGTGGCGGGGGCCCTCTGCCGCCATCCACCAGCACAGGCCACCACGCCGCCACGCTGTGCCACACCATTCCACGCTGTGCCACAGCGCGCTGGCAGTCCATGGCAACCACAACAACCACACCAGGTGGATGGGGTCAAGACACCTCCAGGGCAGGGGTCTGGGACCCCCTGCCTGGGACATGTGGCAAGCCAGTCCCCAAAAGCTGCCTCTTGGTGAGGCCACATCACCCTCCTCACTGCCAGCCCTGTTCCTTCCTGTCCCCAGGAGCTGCTCTGGACCTGCAGAGCCCAGCCAAAAACCCAGCAATCCATCCCCAGCCCCTGGGGTGCAGCTGTGTTGGAGGAGGTGTCCAAAAGGGGACAGGAGCCAGGCAGAGGGGTCCAAGGTCCCCAAACCTCAGGGGTCTGAAAGCACTGGGGTCCTCCTACAGGAGGGTCCTGGCAGGCTGGTGCTCCCAGCAGGGACCTCAGCTAACCAGAGAAACTGCCATCACCCCAGGCTAGAACCAGGAAGGGAACGGGACAGTGGATGCTTTAAACTGTGGAATGGGGTTTCACCATTCCCCACCAGCTGCTCTGAAAGGGAATGTCTCCCCACACCTTGCTGCTGTCCATACTGACCCCATGGGCAGCCCCGTGTGTTGGCAGTGCTCCCCCAAGCTGGCACCAGCTCTGCAGGGAAGAGCCATGCCGGAATATGCCGTCCCCATCGCACGTGGGGAGGCAAGACTGGGACTGCCCGGGGGGGCCACACATGTAGAGAAGAGCCCCCCAACCCTCCCAGACCCTGCCAACAGCAAGGAAGGGAGCGCTCGGTCCCTGGACAGCATTACCCAGCACGGCTCGGCTGGCCTGGGACGGGGTTCCAGGGGAGCCAAATCCTGCACAGCCCCCCCGCTGCACTGCTCACCCCTCCCCAGCCCCGCTTAGCTCCCGCAGCAGCTCCTGCCCATGCAGCCGCCTCCGCAGCCCAGAGCTCTGCTGCCACCCTCCGAGGGCTCCAGCCTGGCACCCCAGCACCCACCCGCACCCGGCGGGCACCCACACCCCCACCCCGCAGGAAGGGGAAGCGGGGCTCATGCATGTGCTAGGAAAGGGGTTTGGGCACAGGGGGTTAGCGCTGCAGCCAGCTGGGAAGTGATGCTGAGATTCGGGGGCTTGTCATAGACATGGGCAGGGACACCTTCCACTAGACCAGGTTGCTCCAAGCCTCATCCAGCCTGGCCTTGGACACTTCCAGGGATGGGGCATCCACAACATCTCAGACTTGTCCCGAGTCTGCTGGCTGTGCTCCCGCAAACAAGAGGGGTCAGGGCATCCCATAGGAAACGCGGCATCCTCCCTGCAGAGAACTAACAACTCATCGCTTCCCAGAAAAGGGATGCGTGCCTGAACCATAGGGAGGCACGGGAGCACGGATGCTCCCTGCGGGCAGCAGGTATACCCAGCCATCCCCCAAGGACTCAACCCATGGACTCTGCAAACACCCATGCATGAAAGCCGTGCTCCCGGTGTCACCGCAACGGGACAGTGCCACTCACCCCGACTGACTCGAGGGACACGGACAGCAGGTACAAGTGTGCCCAACTCACCGGACTTGTGGACGCTGCGGAGGCAGGAGAGGGAGGCGTTCAGGCGAGCACACTCCTCACTGTTGGCCCCAAATTTCTGCACGGTGGCACAGACCTGGTCGTCGGTCATGTCCAACAGCTCCTCCAGGCTCAGCTGCCCAGGGGCGATTTCCTGCGGAGAGTGAGGAGGGAAGAATAAACCATCCCGGAGCATCCTCTAAACCAGCACCTCGGAGTATGCAGATGAGAAGCTGTTCCCTCCTGTGTCACATACCCAAAAATATTAGTTTTCCATCCCAACCCACGTGAAAACCCAGAGGGCATAGCTGAAAACTCAGCCTGAGCTCAAGTTTTTGCAAGATCTCAGGCACATCCAGACACAACTCAACACTGGGATGTCTGGGAGCACAATGAAAACCTGCCCCTGCCCTGAGCACACACAGGGCCTGGCAGCTTTGGGACAGGCTTTCCTCTTCCCTGGGGAAAGCTGTTACGGGGCACCTTTGAGTGCCACCCCCTCACTGCACCCATCGCCAGCAGAAGCCCAGGGTGTGCAGAGCGATGCTGCGCCCTGCTGTGACTCCACCACGCTGACAGGGACATGGGAGACCCCCCACTCCCAGGGGACAGCATCCATAAGGTTCCCCCAGCACCAATGTCCCCCACTGGTGGGAGGAGGAGAGCCGTGGGGTGACCCTGGCCAGCACATCCCACCACGGGCTTCCAGCATCTTCCCATGCGGATAAACACCCAGGCCCCCTCCGCTCTGGTCTCCCACCCTGTCCCCCACCGCCAGCACCATCCCCTCCACCCCAGGCCGCAAACCCCCGCCTTAAAGCCACTCTCCATCTCAGAGCAAAACTGTTCCCTTGCCTAGTTTTGCTCAAGGATTCCAGGAACCCCTGGGAAAAACACTGCCGGAGAGGTTCGGCACCCCAGCCCGCAGCGGGCACTTCCCGCCCGGGTGCGGACGATGCCCAGCCCTTACCTCCATCACCTCCTTGCGGATGTCGACGATGCGGAACCAGTGCAGGAGCTGGGGGAATCCCTCCAGCTTGGCATTGCGCTCCTGCAAGGCCACCTTCCTCTTGCAGGACAGCTGCCGGCTGAAGTACTTCACCAGCTTGCTCTGGAAGAGAAGGCGAAATCCC